TACTGCTCCAGTTTATGATGAACTTGGTTGATTTCCGTTGTTCATTTCCAGATATGTCAGAGAAGTACGCTACTGGTTGAAACTTTTAAATACATCGAGCTGTTTACTAACATTCTTTATATGATACCTCCCTCCTTTATTGTGATAAAGGTGTTAAAAACTGGGCTTATGTGAAACCAATGTTATTTGAGAAAGGATTTGGCTACGTGTGGATTGATCCGCTGTGTACGTTTACACGTTACACGTTACACGTTTTGTAATGTTTTCAAACAACGTTTAATATATATATTTGTCCAAAACTGGCGTAGGGATGTCTCATTCATTAATATATTAAGGGTGTATGAAAAAACTCAAGCACACTTTTTGAATATTATTTAAACATAATGCATTATAAAGACAGAATGTAAATCCCCATGATCAAGTAATAAGTGACGTATTGAAACAGGTCGTTATGAAATTGTGAAAAGATCGTTAAGATCTTGTAATTATTGTAAAAGCGAAGATATCTTCGATGTTGAGGACAAATACCATTTCTTTCTCGTACGTCCTTGGTACAAAACGTTTAGAGCTAAATTCATTAGTAAATACTTTGGATAAGCCAAGGTTTTACAAACTTACGGTACTTTTAAAAAGCATATATACATTGACTGCAATTAATCTGTCCAAATATATTTAATATTCCACCATCAATGTACCATAATCAGATTATTTTGTTCGGATTCGAGTTGTACTGTCATCATAATATGTTGTATTAAGATGAGAGGCTGACTATCCAAATCTTTTTGAAGAAATCCCATCTGTCTGTCTGTGACATGGAGCTGACTACATCTTGCATAAATATCCAATCCCCAAACTTCTAGCATTTCACATATTGTTTTCTCGGTGTACTTCAGAAGACATTTGCTTTCATTTTGACAAATTGTCATGAACCTGTGGAGAATGAGATAACTGTCTCTATGGTTTCTCACGTTTAGGGACAATTTTGCCACTGATCAAGAAATGAAGTTTGCCCTTCTATTTGTCGTGTGGGATATTGGTGTACAGAGCTGAAAGTCAAGTGCTTTGAAATAATTACACTTGGTTCTTGTCTAAGATTGCAAAATTTCAAGCACATCCTTTGAGGGTTTTTTGTGAATCTACATGGAATTAACTCCACTTGTCTCAACTACTTTCTGTGAATATAAAGAAAGTCCTTCCTTGGTGGCATTTAAGGATTGTGGTTAGTCTTTGAGACAGGGATTTGGTGGTACATTTGACAGAAACCATCAATATATCTGCCTTTGTACAGACGTTTATGGGGCTTAGGATTCCATTACAAAAGGGTAATGGACATGTCTTAAGGTTTAAGAGTCAAGTCAAAAGATGCATGGTTTGGGCAGAATTCTTCCACAATTCAACATACTGGCCTTATACGTGGCACTATTTGATGTCACTTATGCCAAGATCTTTGATCAAACAATTAACGAAGTGATGCGGACATATACTGGTCATGTTATTTGAAGCCTAGTCAGTGGGAAGAACTACAAACTTTTCATGCAGGGCAGCCTGACTTTGGGTGACTGCCGGCTGTCTGTATTTCAATTTGGTTTCCTTGTTTTCAGTCTGTACATTTTATCAATGACCCATTCTGTAGGACATTCAAAAGGTTTATGTTCTCTTTTGGCCTAACGTCCACATAACATTGTCTATGTTCATCTAAATATTTGGAAACATCCACTTAACATTGTTCTATCAGTAGCTGAATACTAGTACACCACAACATCACATTGTTCTTAAAGTAGCTGAATACGAGTACACCACCACATTACATTGTTCTATCAGGACCTAAATACTTGTACACCACCACATTACATTGTTCTATCAGTAGCTGAATATTAGTACACCACCACATTACATTGTTCTACCAGTAGCTGAATACTAGAACACCACAACATTACATTGTTCTATCAGCAACTGAATACCAGTACACCATAACATTACATTGTTCTATCAGTAGCTGGATACTAGTACACCACCACATTACATTGTTTTATCAGTAGCTGAATACCAGTACACCATCACATTACAGTGTTCTATCAGTACCTGAATACTAGTACACCACCACATTACATTGTTCTATCAGTAGCTGAATACTAGTACCCCACCACATTACATTGTTCTATCAGTAGCTGAATACTAATACACCACCACATTACATTGTTCTATCAGTAGCTGAATACTAGAACACCACCACATTACATTGTTCTATCAGTAGCTGAATACTTGTACACCACAACATTACATTGTTCTATGAGTAGCTGAATACTAGTTCACCACCACATTACACTGTTCTATCAGTACCTGAATACTAGTACACCACCACATTACATTGTTCTATCAGTAACTGAATACTAGTACACAACCACATTACATTGTTCTATCAGGACCTGAATACTAGTACACAACCACATTACATTGTTCTATCAGTAACTGAATACTAGAACACCACAACATTACATTGTTCTATCAGTACCTGAATACTAGTACACCACCACATTACATTGTTCTATCAGTAGCTGAATACCAGTACACCACCACATTACATTGTCCTATCAGGACCTGAATACTAGTACACCACCACATTACATGGTTCTATCAGTAACTGAATACTAGAACACCACAACATTACATTGTTCTATCAGTAGCTGAATACTAGTACACCACCCCATTACATTGTTCTATCAGTAGCTGAATACCAGTACACCACCACATTATATTGTTCTATCAGGACCTGAATACTAGTACACCACCACATTACATTGTTCTATCAGTAACTGAATACCAGAACACCACAACATTACATTGTTCTATCAGTAGCTGAATTCTAGTACACCACCACATTACATTGTTCTATCAGTAGCTGAATACTAGTACACCACCACATTACATTGTTCTATCAGTAGCTGAATACTAGTACACCACCACATTACATTGTTCTATCAGTAGCTGAATACAAGAACACCACAACATTACATTGTTCTATTAGTAGTACACCACCACATTACATTGTTCTATCAGGACCTGAATACTAGTACACCATCACATTACATTGTTCTATCAGTAGCTGAATACCAGTAAACCACCACATTACATTGTTCTATCAGTAGCTGAATACTAGAACACCACCACATTACATTGTTCTATCAGTAGCTGAATACCAGTACACCACCACATTACATTGTTCTATCAGTAGCTGAATATTAGTACACCACCACATTACATTGTTCTATCAGTAACTGAATACTAGTACACCGCCACATTATATTGTTCTATCAGTACCTGATACTAGTCATTCAATGTAATGAATACTACACCACCTACCACACCCTCTCATAACATTGTCCATAAATAACTAAATATCAATATTACAAATTCTATGTATAACTAGAACACCACATTGAATTTGTATTTATAGTTTTCCTTATTTGTGCGTGTATCCAGATGCACGTAGATCGCTGGTATTACTAAAATATTCAAGATGTGAAAATTAATTGTCTGTGCAATTGAGTATATTCTCATATTTGTGTTGATGAAACTATATTAACGTCAACACAACGAAATACCGAAGGACCACGTGATCAAGACACAGTGACACGTGAACTGCTACTGAAGGCAGTGAAACTGACAACCGGCACGAATATTGGCAGATTACCAAACATCATGGAGACCAACCGAGGATAAAGGGAGGTAACTCTATTTACAGTAGAGCTGTCCACGGTCATAAATGAATGAAGCGCTCTTACTATACAGTCGCGTGAATTAGAATTAAACCGCGCTTATTTGGTAAATGTAATGAGAAAAGCTTTATATGTTCACATCTCTGGTGTTGTCAGTATTAGACAGAACTTAAAATAACAGGAACGCAGATGAGAAACACATGAAAGACATGACACCGTAACATGCTGTGGTGGACGTCATGTCGTTATCCACACCGTGACATGCTGTGGTGGACGTCATGTCGTTATCCACGCCGTGACATGCTGTGGTGGACGTCATGTCGTTATCCACGCCGTGACACAGACAATGCCTCAGACCGAGCACTTATCCGCCACGTTTGTTTGATGCTAAACCTCGAAGTTAAATATCAGAGAAATGCATAAACATCGAAAATAGAAGTTCCATAATGGCGTCCGACAACCTCATCAGTGACAATCACCGGTGCCATTTCAGCAAAATGGTTAACTAAAAATTACGTTTTACTTCCATAAACATTTAATTCAAGTCATTGTGTGTGTGTGTGTGTGTCTGTGTGTGTGTCTGTGTGTGTGTCTGTCTGTCTGTGTCTGTGTCTGTGTCTGTGTCTGTGTCTGTATTATTCTATGGCAGTGTAATGAATTGTTAAACAATGATCATAACTGTATTACATTGCTACTGTTGAGACTCAGTAGAAGTTCATTGCATTGTATTTGGACAATGATTAGTTGTCAGGGATGTAGTACTATTTAATAGAAGCAGTGGTGAGGAAGTTAGAAAGTTATTTTATTTAAATGGTCGAATTATCTGTAAACTTCCAGAATAGCGTAGATGGATGTCAAGCGTTATAGAAACATGTGAAATATTGTGAGATTTTCTGGTGATACTGGACTGCTCAAGCAGTATATTGTCAAGAGCATAATCCCCATATATTGAGAAAACCCTACTGAAGCCTAAAGGCTAAAAGGCTAAAGGACTTAAACACAAACTTTACATGTCGTCCCTGCAATACTGAAATGATCGAAGATAAGGCAGAAGTGACACCTTTCAAATCATATTTCTTCTGGATCGACGAGCCCCCAGCGTACAGCTGACGTAGATATAGAGAGCACAAACCCATACATGACAGTCAGGCGATATTCAGCTGTTTTAAGTCAATGTGAGAGAAAGGAGGACGAGTGTCCCAGTGTCACTGTGGTGGTATTTCTGGACGTGACTTTAATATTTTACAGACGCCTTATTCAGTTTGCTAAACCTCAGTGACTTACGTGGTAGTCTCCCTTTGCATGTCTTGCTTTCAGGTGATCAATTATGACTCGCTCATCAAGGTATGGAAGGGCAGACAGGTCATCGCCTGACGGACTGCGACCCTTTGGCGCTGAAAATCTGGAGCAGAAAACAACATTTGCATGTTTAAATAATGAAAGTATGTTCCCCTTATAATATGCGAGAAACTTTAACGTCTTGGGTGTATAACATCTTTAAGTGGAATTTAGAAGTATGATAAACAAGGGAGACAGTTCTATCGATGTCCTTCTTTATAACAGGGTTCGATCCCCGACCGCGTCATACCAAAAGACGTTAAAATATGGTACTTGTTGTTACCCTGTCTGGCGCTCGGCATTAAGGGGCTAAAACAAGGACTGATCGGCTCGGAGTCAGTATACTGTGTCTGAGTGGGGTATTCATGTTAAACTGCGGCATGGTATCTCAGTGAGCTAGCACTATAAATCGGCATCAGTCCGGACTAGTACAAGCAGCCACACAAACACACACACGTACATGCACGTCGCTATATAAGTGCAATAATCCTGGACGCGACGTTAAACCCCATTTCACCTCACCTCACCTTCTTTATAACAATGAATGTGACGTTTAGATGTAGTCATTAACACCGTTAACACTTGCTTGATAGCGATGTTTTTATCAACACCGAACGTCGCATCCATTGTTAAAATGAAGTTGTATAAGCATAAAACTATGCTGTGACTAATGTATGCCAGGAAATATAAAAACGTATAAACAGGAACCTGGTGTATATTCGACTCTACCGGAACACTGGGGGGCAAGTTAGTATGTCAGGGAGTGAGTGAGGGATCGGTGTTTGACGGAACACTGGGGGAAAGTTAGTATGTCAGGGAGTGAGTGAGGGATCGGTGTTCGACGCAATCGTTTGTGGCTAGTTTGTTAGTAATCTAGTCGCAACGTGTCAGGATATCTAGTCGCAACGTGTCCCCATATCTAGTCGGCTCTTGCGACAAGTTAAGGTCCTGAGGACATATTCCAATCAGGAATACTGTAAATGATTTTGAGATGAGACTATTGATTGAAGTGAGCTTTGAATATTTCTATTATGCCATTGATTTGAGGGCGTGGCAACATATTGTTGGAGAATAACCCAAACCAGATTGTAGACGCTCACCCTTTAGTGAAGTTCTCAGTCCGGATCAGGATCTTATTCAAACCTACGACAAGCGGATTCCGACAGCAAAGGGACACAACTCGAAACAAACTTTGGGCACAAATCTCACGTTGACATCCATCATGCGTAATGCATACTGAATGTGATATAGACAAATTATATGATCAAATAAGTGTAGGAGAAAGTGAAATAACGTGTTTTCTCAGGGAAATACATGTGTTTTATCCTCGACAAGAATATGGACACCAAGTTTCAAAAAGGAAAGTGAATATCGTTATCATGACAATAACCTATGTTTCTTAGATAATGTGCATAGAAATAAAAACGAACGAAGATCAATTACATTGGGGAAGTCGGGGGTTTATTAGCAAGAAGGCTGAACTGAATAACGATAAATGCCACAGAAAAATATGTTCTTACAACAAAATTGATATATACATTTCTGGTATTGTGTATTTACGTCCATATGTGTTGACATTGAACCATCAATCATATACACACGATATAAAACATGATTCATAAAACACAAAATACGATTATAAACACAAATGGAGACATTATTTAGCAATAATGGAATAACCGAAATTTATATTTTATCAAAAGGAAATAACTTACTTCTTCCATGTCGATAACTTTAGAAACATCCTGCTTAAAAAAATCGGAACTACACGCTGAAAACATATATACAAGTATCCTCCTTTTGAGCCCAACACCTTTTGATAACCTATTCATGAGAGTCCTGCTGAAACATAGATTTAAAAACACCCAACCCATATTTGACGAAAGAGCCTTCAGTGCAGCATTTATTAGAAACTCTGGCACCCAACCCACCTTGAGTTGACTAAGATAACAGAGTCCCCGCAGTTTATGTATAAAGCCCTACATATGGCTAATAACACCCAGTTCAAACATACTCTTCATGATATGTCCTCAATATTTGAAAGGAAGAATGTATCCATAGCGTTTTGTGTATGTATATGAATCTGTTGAGCGTGCTTGTTCATATCCATTAAGCAGTTGTCAATAGAATTGATCGGTGGCCACGGGGTTGTATGTAGAGCTGTGTAGAGAGATGTATAAAAAGCTCCGCCCAGGCGGGTACGATTGTCGTGACACCAACGCATGCACTTGCCAGGAAATGAAGATAAAGGGTGTTTGTGATAACACCTATAAGACCCCATCCTTGGAAAACAAGACAGATTGCATTGGTAAATAGTGCATGAAATATGCATGATTCGTGTACTTGCAGGTGACATTGAATACCGATGGATGTATTTGATACAGCGAAATGGGAGTTTGACAGGCAAAATACCCGAACACACAGAGCATAGTATTTGTGTTGTTTACCAGACATGTCAATAAAACTATCAGTGGTCGAAACATAAGTGGTCATCAATTTACAATAGTGTTTCCTTAAGGAGATAACGCAAAAACATTTTGTCATTTGAAATAAAATATATTGCATAGAGTGTGTCTTTGACAAGCTAGTTAAAGTTGCTACATGTATATTAATTCCTGACTTTTGTTATTATAGCCGACGGGATGAAAATAAAAGGTTCATAAAAAGACAGTTAACTGCAATCCACATTTGCAGGTCAGTTGTAAATCGTAGTCCTCACATATGAACACCAGGGCATGTAAAAATCAAAACAAGAACTTATTTAAATCAGTGAAATCATCAAAATAGAACTATACCACTTATTGACCTTTTCCCTGTGTCAGCTGTTTATGGCGCTATTGGTCCAAATAAACGTATGGTGAATCATAGTTTCAGGATGTCGTTTGTTGACGGTCTAACGTTTCGGCTATACGTTATGAATGCTTCACGGTTTGTAATTAAAGTCATCATCTGTAAATACGTACGTGTAAGTACACTGAAACCCCAATTATCAGGAGTGTGGATTAACGAGGTTCCTGATTGTTGAGTCCTCATAAATAAGGAATGCCTTTGTTTACAGTGAGTGAGTGAGTATGGTTTTACGCCGCTTTTAGCAATATTCCTGCAATATCAGTGCGGGGGACACCAGAAATGGGCTTCACACATTGTACCTATGTCGGGAATCGAACCCAGGTCTTCGGCGTGCCGAGCGAACCATTAGACTACCCGACCGACCCCCTTGGTTTGCAAGAATATTTCCTTAATAGTAATCGGGGGTACGGGTTGCCCAGTCGTCTAAGTTGCAGAGTTGCTTCCTTGGGCACGCCAGAAACCTATGATTGTGGGTTCGAATCCCGGTTCGCCCCGATGCAGTTATGTCAGCACCATACCCGTGCTCGTGGGTTTCACCGAAGTGGTAAACGTTTTCAGACCTGCAACGCTTCGGGCTTTCCTACCACAGAGAGCTGACACACGCCGTGATATAACTGGAATAATGTTAAAAGCGGCGTTAAACCCAACTTACTTACTCACTCATCTTAATTGTAATCATCCGGAAAACAGGGTGTCTAGACTAACGGGGTTGCACTGTTGTGATCTGACTGATGTGTAAGCATAGCATAGTTATTTCCACCCCCTATCTATGGCCGGAATATACTGACTACGAATTGTAAAAACCTGGTTTAGGCTGTGAACGTTCAAGAAATTCGTTGCAACAAATATGGCCTGGATTAAAACTTAATCTACCATAGCTGTACATACAGGTTGTCAATTAACACAAACTTCACTGTTCAGTTAACAATAATTGTACTTTTAAATACTTCCTACTTGACCTAAATACTTCCTACTTGACCTGAACAAAAGTACTAAAAATATGTTTGCATTTTAAGACACGTAATTGGAGTTTGTGTGATGTGTGTAAATATCCATATTTGTAAACAGTGATGTGAAAAAGTGACATATTTGCGGGTTTGTTTTCTATTGTTGTCCGTGCGCGGCTATCTTCATCCGCGTTATGATGGCCAGGATGACAGATGCGTCAACACATCATCTACAGCAGCAGCAGCAGCACGCATGTCAGAGGACAACTAAATATGTTTGTCTTCATAGTGGAGACTACAACTCACGAACAAGCACACAAAGTTCATGGATGTTCTTTCTTGTTGGTGGCAATGGTCAGGGGGTCTCCTCGGTGACATTTATCTTAAGATACTCATCTATCTATTTAGCATCAGTATATTTTCGCACAGACGGTGAAAATATTATTTTTCAAAAGCGGCGTACAACCTCACTCACTACACTCACTACAACCTCATGTGTGCCAGACATCTATCATCGTGGGTTCGAATCCTGATTCAACCTGATTATGTTTCTAACGTTACTCGTTGATTTCCCACATCACTCACTCACTCACTCACTCACTCACTCACTCTCTCACCAGTAGAATAGTTTTCTTGTCTCACTCAATGGGTCATCACATATTACTTTCCGCTGTTGCGCATCCTGTTATAATTATTAAGTTCATAATTGCCTGGCCTATTTCAACATTACTGGTTTATCGGTGGCGTTATAACGGGGAAGAAGGTTTGAATGTCTTCATATACGGTGTGAGTAGTTTAGCAAAATTCCTGCCACATCACAGCGCGGAACACTAAATGGAGGCCTCAAATATTGTACCAATCTGGGAATCGAGCACGTGTCTTCAGCTTGACGAGCGAACACTTCAATCACTGGGCTACCGCACTTCCACTTATAATGAATTTGACATTCATCGGGCGGAGGCAATATATCAAATGATAAGTTATGATATGGTGTTTCACTGTCGTCACCTTTCCATTAAGAATGGTGTTTGAAATATGTATTCTGTATTCAATCCAAACTTATACCGTAGACGTTTCTTTTATAATCCAATTACCAACAGCTTTAACGTGAACGAGGGGAACCATTTCGCTATGTATTCACGTGCACAGGAAGCACGTGCTTCTTCTGAATACCTCTCCAACGCTGCTTGTAATATTGTGTTTGTTTGTTTGTTTGTTTGTTTGTTGTTTAACGCCGCCCTCAGCAATATTCCAGCTATATGACGGC